TAATAATAATAATAATAATAATAATAATAATAATAATAATAACAATAATAATAATAATAATAATAATAATAATAATAATAATAATAATAATAATAATAATAATAATAATAAATTAACCAACAAACAGAACACAAAAGAAAATAGTAATAATAATGTAATATCTAGAGATCATCTATTAGAAGAATTTAAAAAACCCATATGGGCATCTGATGAAGAGAAAACGAAATTTTTCACAGAATTTCATCAAAATGCAAGATTATCTAATTCAAAATATAACTTAAAAGAAAAAAGTAATGTAAAGTATAAGGAAGACTATACTATTAAATTTAAAAGTAGGAAGAATGATGAACACAAATATAAAATAAAACATATCGATGATGAATTATAATAATGATTTTTCATATTTAGACAAATTATAATTATTTTAACAGAGAAAATCAACTTTTACTCACAACAAACCTTATCGATAATGCACCTGGTATTTTTGCAAACAATTTAGGTGCAATGAGTTTCAAAGTTTTTACATTTACCAAATGTATTATATATGATAAACTATAATTATATAATAGAAAAAATAGTGAACAAGTTACAGTTCAGTGATATTCTGGTTTTACAAAATATTTCAGATTATACAAAACTGGTGCTTAGAATGAATGTATATTGTGAAATGAAGGTGGGCACGATAAAAGAAATTTATAATGTTGAGGTGCATGTGTATATGCATTTTATTAAGAAACATCATAACGTATATACATAGGAAATTGGGTTAATGTGATTGTAAGAATGATAATGAAGTAAAGGCTCTAACTGATGTAAATTTTATAAATTACATAATTAGAGTATAATTTTCGTGCATTTTATAATACGTAAATATTGTATTTTCTATTACTTCAGAGAATATTAATATTTGTTATTGCCCTATTATTAGTACTTTCTATTTTAAACACGTGCCATGTTTTCAACTACTATTTATAATATGAAGATAAGAGCGAACATTTAGTAAATTGACAATCTAATGAACATTATGACATATTTCTTTCCATTATTATTTACTATATTTCTGCTGAAAACACTAAATTGAAAAATGTAATTGTGAAATATTACTATTTAATGTTAAACATTTGAAAACTGTAATATCATTTTTTATCCATGCATTACAGTATTTATGTTATGCATTATCAAATTACATAAGTGAGGTAGAAAAATTGATATTTGAATGTTCAAAAGTAAGCATCTGATCACAATAAATTTAGAAATGCTATTCAATTTATGTATATTAATGTTACAATTAAAAATATTATTTTCAATGTATTTATTAAATTTTAAATCAAAAATCAAAGTTATAAAAATTTAATTAATCATGTAAAATGGCAATGTAAAAATTATAATTTAATTATAGTAATTATGTGTCTTAAATGTACATAAGTATGTATAATAAATTATATGTAGTGCATAATATAAAAAGCATACCATCTTAAAGCAAATTAAAAAATAATCGATTATACAAATATTATAAATTGATAGTATAAATTTGTATAATTGCATTTATATGATTATTTTTGACTCATAAAATTTACGTTAGGCACAATGAAGTATAAAAAGTATTGCTATAAATTTTGGGCAGTTTTATTTTTATGTTTCACAAAAAGTGCACAAAATTTGGACATTAATTCTTAACTTGGATGCTATATATTCATAAACATATAATTATATATAATATATATAGATATACTAAATTCTATAAAAATGTAAATAATGAAAGTTCCACTTTAGTATCATATACCTCTGTTTTAATAATAAAGTAAAAGAATGCATGTAAAATGCCAAAATACATTTTTACACATATATTTTATTGTACATAAATTTAATAGAACATTATATTGTATAATCTATCAATTCTTGTATATGTTGATTACTTGTACTTAAATTTATGTTCTCTTGAGTAAAATCATAAAGAAAACACTATATGCTTTGTGAAGTTTTATATGTTAAATGAATATGTACATGTAAATTGAATAAATTTAATGTTTTAAGATATTACTGACAAAACTATCTATATTTATAAATTAAATTTGTATATTTTTATCTCTGAATATAAAAAATACTTGTTTCATAATGAAATATATCAACGTCTAGTTGAATGTAATATATGTGCTAATAATATAAAAAATATCGTAAGAGAAAAAGATTTATAATAACTGTTATTTGTGTGAATTACAATTTGATATTTTTATGTTCTTTAATACTTACAATTATATCATATTCAAAAAATTCAAACTTAATAATTTTTTCCTAATTTATTTATTGTTTAAAGTCTTTAGATTAGTAGTAGTACTAAACCTCTTTATTGTATATCTTGGTATTATTATAAAATTTGGCCTTTATAATACTTTTACTTTCATTCTTTCCATTTTTCCTATCATTTTACCATCCTACCTTTTTTCTCCAATCTTTCCATTTCTCTCTCTAACCTTTTTGTTGTCTTCTTTTTCTTATTCTATTCTTCTATTTGCTTCTTCCTTCCGTCTTTCTATTTCTCTTATTGTTAGTTTTCTTATAATATTTCCTTTTTGTCCACCGTTTAGTATTTTCCTTATCTCTTCCGAACCTCTTTTTTTTTTTTCTTTTTATTAATATTCAAAACACAAAACATCTAAACTTCGTTAAGTATTCGCTCGTTATAATTTGAAACCCTCAACAAAACTGTTTCAATCTAGACTAGTATTTATTAGTCTAGATATCTTCAATGTAAGGTGTCCTCTATTATAGTGTTCTATTTATTATCGTTAAATATAAAAATTCCGTTATAGATGTGATTTAAATTATTCGTGTCCGTTCTAAAATTTACCGTGTTATTGTTTGATATATGAAACATTTCGCTGATATTTCTTTTATACCAATTTTCTTCTAAATCTAAAATAGTTACCGCGTCAAATTTAAAGTTATGTCCTGTTATGAAATGATGTGCAGCTAACGCTGTGGTATTAGTTTTATTTACATTTATAGGTTTGCAGTCATTTTTATGCTGGTCTAATCTTTTTTTAAGTTTCTGTTTCGTTTGTCCAATATAACACTTTTCACATTCACATGGTATTTTATACACTAAGTTCGACTGGTCAAATTTGTTTACCTTATCTTTTAATTTGGTGTAAATAGAGTTTATTTTTGTTAGATTATAAAAGACCAGTTTGATATTAGTGTTTTTAAAACATTTATTTATTTTATTTACTAAAG